TAGATGTCAATCTAGTGTGGCTCTCAGCAAGCTCATAATCCATTCAACAGAACTTGAGTTTCTTTATCAGGATCACAATGGCTACAGTTAGGGGAATGTCCAAACAACTTACAAAACCAGTTTCTTGGAAGATTTTTGCTCCTAATCTCGCCCTTTGAAGTACTGCTCTCCCTAATGTACCTTACACACACACACACACGCACGCACGCACAAACTTGCACATACCCAAGGTCAAAGAACCACGCACTCAATCATGTGTAACTGCAGCCTCCCTCTCTCTCTCTCTCTCTCTCTCTCTCTCTCTCCACTATGTTAAACTTACTTGCCTCATTTAGCCAAATACACACTAAGATAAGATAAGATAAGATAAACTTTATTAATCTCTGAAGGGAAATTCAGGTAGTCTTGTAGATAAGTAAGAAAGAAAGTAGTAAGAGTAGTATAAAGTAGTGAGAGTAGTAGAAATTAGTGAGAGTAGTGAAGTAGTAAAGTAATGAGAGTAGTGATTAGTCATCTGCCATTGGCTAAGGTGTTGTAGATCCTGATGGCAGTGGGGATGAAGGCTCTCCTGTATCATTCAGTCCTGCAGTGCAGTGAGGTGAGTCGTCCACTGCAGCTGCTTCTCTGGTCCATCAGGGTGTTGTGTAGGGGATGGTCAGGGTATTCTAGAATGGACTCTAGCTTTTTCTGTGTGCATCTCTCCGCCATGGCCTCCAGTGATTCAAACCTCATTCCAGTCACTGAAGAAGCTTTTTGCACCAATTTGTCCACCCGCCTTGCATCCTTCTGCTTTATGCTGCCTCCCCAGCAGACTGCAGCATAAACCAGCACACTTGCTACTGTAGTTTGGTAAAACATATGTAGCATCTTCCTGCAGATGTCGAAGGACCTAAGCCGTCGTAGGAGAAAAAGCCGTCTCTGCCCTTTTTTATATTGTACATCTGTGTGAAATGACCAGTCCAACTTATTGTCCAGGTGCACACCTAGATATTTGTAGGCTGGCACCACTTCGATGTCCGCACCATAGATGCTGACTGGATAAGGAGGGGGTTTAGCCCTTCGAAAATCCACTACCATCTCCTTGGTTTTAGAGGTGTTTACTAGGA